GGACCAAAGAGGAACAATTCTAATATTTCCGTCACCAGATGTGAGTAAAATTCTTCAATTATCGCTGACATCAAGTACTAGTAACAGTAACTGTTATAATTAACGTTGTCATTTTACTGTCGATTCATCTTTATTATCATAATATTTCTTACTATCATACATGTTCTTATCATTAGTTACTATCATAATCATGACTCTTATCATCATCATTATTATTGTTGTTATTGTGAGGCCTGCTAGCACTAACTACTTTTTTCTTATCATTAGTTAACTCTCGGAATTTAACATTTTTCAGGTAACTCTCTTTTGTATATTTCATATTATATTTGGTGATTAAAAACAGATCAGTTTGGCAGCATTCTGCTCCAATATGTGTCGTAAATCCTGAAGAAACAATGATGAATTAAGGTTATTCTTTTCATATATATCATAATAGATTTATCCCTTCATATGTCATTATCGTCCAAGATACCCATTGGCTATCTTAATAGACATTTATTCGATTTCCTGTGCCAATGTACTTCAAGTGATTTCACTGATTTAAATGCAGTTTCTTTTCGTTTTGTCTGCCACTGTGTTTTGTGCCTATCCGTGTCTCTGTGGTGTAGTTCCCTTCTATGTTCAGCGTCCTGTTTTGTAGGAATGACAGAATGGGATTATATAAAACACTGCATATAAAAGACGTACATATTTAATTATTAGAATCACTTACAATTTGTCTATAGCTCCTTGCCCCCCCCCCCCCACTAACATCGGGGGAAAGAATGAACTGGAATCTACAGTTTAGCATCGCGCCGATACTAAGAGATAATCGTCCATTTCTTTTCGTATTTCTTATTACGCCGTTTTCATCCAATGAGTTCTCTGAGCTAATACTGATTAACTTAATGATACTCCTCTCTGAACCGGCTTTAAGGAGGGCAAACCTGGGGATGCCTAGACACAGGGCTGGTTGTTCGGTTGTAAGGATGTTAGGGTGATAGTTTCAGAAGGCGACTAAGTATTATGGCCCTTATATCGAGTTACAGTAACCACCAATATCGTCTACAGGTACTTCACCCCCGACATAAACACAGCTTTTACAACCACATGTACAAGACTACTACACTAACTCTACTGCGTGGTTTAAATATCTTAGTTTTTCTATCATGAGAAATTAAGAGTTACATTTCATAACCTAAAACCTTATTTAGAGCGTAATCTATCAACTCAAAGAATTAAGCAATCTTCCTACTCTACAATCGCCCTTCAACACTTCCTAACCAGGCAATCACACTTTCTCAAACACGGGTTTCCTACCATTCGTCAGGCAAAAAACACAAGCTTTGTTCATGTACAGGTTGTTTCAGGCTTATTGCTTATCACAGTATTCTCAAATCAAGAATATTCTCCTCTGGAGCGATCAGGTTATCGGCAGCCGTCACTACAATAGACCAGCAGATGTTCCTCATGGCTCAGAAAAGCTGCACTAAGCTTGAGGTTACAGGTAATAAAGTTCAGATAACAATCAGGGCTATCCACACCATGCATTCTTCAATCATCATTCTACGGGACGGAACATTTTTAAATCCCGTGTTGGTGACCGCCCTGTCTACCACTTGACCTACTTAGTTGAATAATGTAGTTTGTATCAGTGTGCGTCATCTTTGTGGTTGATTAATTCCACTCTGTACATGGCCTTTTATGCAACCTAGTTATAGTCCCAACATGGATATCTTGGTCGTCCACTAGTATTTCTATCAGTCACAACATCGTGACGGTTGGGTTTTCCCCCTAAGTCGCATAGAGTGACAGATCTTCAGTCGATGACTTCAGTCGTCGCATATGCTAGAGGTGGCGGTTCTAGTTTGGGAATGCGAGTTTCCTGTCTCCTCTAGCTGCTGGTCTCTCTCATCTAATCCGTATTGCCGTCCATCTTGGACAGCTGTGCTCCGTTTTTTTATTGCCAGAAATGTCAGATTTCTTCCTGCAAGGGACATTCGACTTGCCGATGTCCCTTATTTCGGCACAGGAAGCATTTCACCATGGAAGGACCGCTAAATGGACTGGCCTTTTTCTTTTTCTTCCGCTGCTTCTCTGTCGCTGGCGCTGAAGGAGTTGCGGTCGCCTTCAGCTTATAGCAGTCCTCCCTTCCATGCGTCTTGTTCCAACCATGTTCCGGACAATAGAACTTCTTTCCTCTTTTAAACTTCATAGACTGGCTTTTTGTCTCCGCGGCTGGCTCTGACTTCCAGATGGGTAGCTTAGCCTGGAACTGCTGGTCGAGGAGAGGATTATCCTCCATCCAAATATTAATCGCCTTCATAATGTCCGTGAATTCAATGGACTTAAGACGGTCAGTGTCCCATTCTTCCGTTCCTTCGATTCGGTATTTGGCTACAGCTTTTCCGACCATGTGGTAATATAGAGTGTCCATCACTACAGCTAATACCATATCACTGAATGGCCAATTCCGGACCAGCATGCAGTCCAGTCGAAGAGTCTTTGGTTTCATGGTCCA